CAAAAGCTGCTGTAGATGAGGAAATAGTCGAGTAGCTGAGAGAAAAAGCTACTCAGAACCACTGACTAGGCAAATCATGTTGCGTTATGTGACTCCTGAGCTGAAAATAGCCAGAAAGTGGGAGAGCACCCAGCAGAAGTATCACATCTGCTTGGCCTGTTCTTGTTCTTCCCTGGATGTTGCTTCCGGCCACTACTGTACAAAGCAAGCAGGGCTGGGTGGCCTTTGGTCTGGAGCCACTTTAGGGGAACCCAGGCCGTTGCTTGACAGGCCGGTCTGGAAGGCGCCGCTGACCTGCGAGCTGAATGACACCTGGGCTGCCTCGGGGCGAGTTACCTCAGGTGCGGCCTCCGGTGCAACCCGCTGCGCGCCCCGTCTCAGGGGCACCCGTCAGCGCTTGCTGAGCGCCTCGCTGCCATCGCCACCGTGTTCCCAGCACCAAGCCAGGCCGTATGGAAGTACTGCCGCGCTGCGCTGCTGTTTGCTGCGTGGACATACCCAGTGTCTGAGTGGCTACGGGAGTGCACCAATTATTGTGGCACAGTCTGCAAAACTTGTTAAACATACATACATACATATATATATATACACATATATATATGTTTAGATTAAGTTGTTAAATTCTCAAAAGTAGGAAAAAAAGTATCACAATTTCAATTCTCATTTTGTTTCCATTTTCCACTTACTCATTTCACAGGCCTAGTCATTTTTCTGAGTGACAGCTTGGTATCTGAAAATCAGTATTGTTTTTGGTTCATGCATCATTGGTGGCAATAATAAAGATATGCAGTCAGAGCTGATGCTGCCTCAAGAATAGAATCCAGCATGTTCTCTTGACTGTGCTAGCTTTGAAGATTTAATAGTACTGAAAATTAGTAAATGACTATTTTTAATCACTAAGGTCAGCAGTTCTGACTCAAAGTGTCCACAAAGGAGCAATGCTTCGAGTACAAGGATTTTTTAAAAATATTGTCACTCTTTATCTTAGCTACACTTTTAAAGGGAATGATGTGTATTATATGAACAAAAACCATGATGTTGTTGTCATTATAAGCTGATGAAGAAAGCTATCAAGTATTTCTGCGTGGGTTAATATTTAGGAGTAACAACTTTATCGTGTGCTTCTCAGGGTCTCCAGTTGGGGGCACTGGGCAAACGCAGAAACGTGGGAATGGGCAAACTGAATGAGGCTTGATGCCACCTAGTCCATGAGACTGCTTGGCGGGGTGTAGAAAATAAAATTATAAAAATTGGATGTGAGATATGATTGCCACTTAGGAGTCGGACTTTTTTTTAAGATGAAGTATACTTCGTTTTCAAAACTCCTCTGTTACTTATAACTGCACTGTTTATCTTCATTAACCATAAGTCATTTTCATTATACTGTTTCTCTTATAAAAATAATAATCATAGTGATTTTAAAGCCAACCCCTTAGGCAGTAATTTAAAATTCTAGATGGGTCCAGGTAGAAATGTTACTATTAATTTAAATTTTACTTTTCAGCTTCATTAAATGTTTCTAGCCTAGTGTAAGTTATTGGCTCTACCTACCTTCAATATTGCTATTTATTAACTTATTTCAAGGGCAGAGCTAGACAAAAGTAGATGCTCATTAAAAAATGCACAGCCTAAAGCCCCCGGTGCACTAGGATCTGCATGGGCCTGTTCACACACACGTTTAGTGTCTAAAACAAGGCCTACAGAGAAGATACAAGGTAATTTTTAATTCAAGCAGTACTAATGATGCTATAAGGAATATGACATACAGACCAGCTACATGCATAATTAGATGGTTTCATATCACATCATTTAAAGGCAATATTATAAAATATCCATTCAGGAATTCATAGCCCTGATTTTGTTGGTAAGGTCTTCTAAGACAAGTCTGTGTTGACAACCAGAAGATAACTTAGAATGCAGGCAAATAATACATAAATTTAACAAATTAAATGCAGATTAAGCACGCAAATCTAGAATTTGATATCAAGTATAAGTGGGTATGTGAAAGGGCAAATAGGCACATCTGTAGTGGATATATTGACAAGAAAAAAAGAACACTGAGCAATGCCAGGCTCATAGTAACATAGGTCTTCCTTCCAGCTGGTATTTTTAACTACGTTTTGCAATGCTGCAATGAGTTTCCTCATCCCTGGAGCTCCTGGCCTTCTCTCTGACCTCTGTATTACAAATTACGACTGTGTGCAAAATATTCGAGCCAAAATGTTTGGTCCACGCCGCTGACTGTCAAAACACAGGGACTTCTGTCCGGGTGTAGATACTTAGTTTTGGAAAAGCAGCATAGTACATGTTGTTCATCATTCCTCAGGCTTCCCCCTCGCCTCGCCAGGCACCCAAAACAAAGCTCCCAATCATGCTACTACTTCTTTTGTACTTTCTGTCTGACCACTGAAATCAATCTATAAACATCAAAGTTTCACAGCAGCCCTCAAAAGTATTACCCCCACTTGCAAGAGAGTTATTTCAGCTTTCTGATTACCAGCTGGCTGGTTGCAAGGGCAGGAGTTATGACTTCCAGTGCCCTAATCTAACCTCTGAGCCACAAATACGAAGCGAGCCTGGTATTCATGATCAACTTTGCAATAACAAAACTTTGTTTTTACCCCGAGGATCAGTGAATAGGACCAGTTTCACTTTATAAAAAGCTTATTGTTGAAAAACTATGAAATGTGTTTGTTTGATTTTTAATATCGTGCTGTTCTAAGAAAATGAACCTGGATCTTGAGACTTAGAGTGAATTAAATGACACACGGGTAAATATATATTAATTATTTTTATTAAAGTATCAAAACAAACTTGAGAATAGAAAACAAATTGCTTTTAATGCATTTTAAAGGTTCTCCTGAATAAAGTAAAGTTTTAGAAAACTCATGCAACATATTGCTCCTTTCTAGCTTTTGAAACCGTGCTTTCCTGGGCACGGTCAAATTGACTTGAGTACCATCATTTCTTGATTAGCATGTGGGTGCACGCATGCACACACACATACACACAGTAAAAAGTAGCTATGACTGCACAAATAGAGAAATAAAAATAATTATCTCCTGACAATCGCAGTGGTATCATACGAACATTTGGCGTGCTAAGTAAATAACATCAAGCAACAAAAGCATGACGCCTGCGTCAGCAGTGGTAAGGTTAAGAGCAACCATACAAATTCCCAAAGGAGAGACACGAATTCCGTGATTATGCTCTAGTCTCGGAGGTAACACTTCACAACAGCTCGGGAGGCGAACTCTTTTAGTCTGTTGGCATGGGATGCCCAGAGGGCAGAGCCAAGGAGCGAGGTACCGCGACGATGCCTCCCTTTCGCGCTGCCGTATGACAGAAGCCAAAGGCCAACGAACGCTCCTTGGACGAGCCTATTGTAACGCACTTCACGTGCATCCGCTGTCTGACAAACAACTGGCCCCATTGATTCCCTTTGAGCCAGCAAAGTCGCAGTAGAGGCTCCAGGCTCGGCCTACAAGACGTTAGTAAAACTCTCACTGAAGTCAATGGAAGCTGCTTCCAACATACTGAAAGAAAGTGGATCCTCAGGACAGAATCAGACCTAACATGTTGTCTTTTTAATACATTCACTTTTCAAATACATGAAGTACATCTCTTTTAAACATGACATAGCTTGTAGGACATTACAATATATCCAGATCTTAGGAAAATGTACTAAGAAGTTCTGTTGCAGAATATAAAGATCATATAAGGATCAGGTATGATATCTGATATACTCAACCGGGACTTGGAAGCTTATGGCTGAGGTATCTTTAAGTTTAGCCTTTAGAATAATTCAACACTGCACAACTGGTGTAAAATATTATGTACTGTAAGCTCCATTCTCATCGTCTGCTTCACTTAAATTGTGACTGTGAGCAGATAGACACCATTGATCAGGAGGCAAAGTTTTGGAAGGTATAATCTGCGCATCCAAACGCTCGAGATACTCTGCACCTCGTCTGAGGCAAAGAGGAAGGATAAGGGTTTTAAATAGTGGTGTCTCAAATACAACCGTTGAAGTTTAGGAATATATAATATTAAACACCAAGAGATAAAAGTAAAAAAACAGCACAACACCTGTGTTTTCAGTTTTATCTTGCTTGCAGTATTTATTAACTTTACTTATTAAGGTATTAGTGATAAATAAGGATATTTTCTTTTACAGAAAATTGTAAGGATATATTTTATAGGATTAAGCAATCTGAGAATTTCACAGAAACATCAGAATTTAAACACTCAGTTCCAACTGTTTTGTCCAGCAGCTCTTCTACCAGTTCAGAAACATCTAAGGTTAGTATTTAATAAAAAATAAAAACAATTCTTCACTACATCAAAACTCTTGCCTCCTTCAGATTCTAAGTAACACTTCTGATTGACTGTAGTCACCACTCAAAAGTAAAATAAAGTAACTGCAATCATATTTTACCCCTCTGAATCATCAGGCAATAGGGATAATCCTGACAAGGATGGGCAAAGCTTTTTCATGCCCTATAAGAGCTATCTGTATAACCAGACCTACAGAAGTCCATAGAACCTCTTCTCTGAATGAGGCTTAGAAGCATGAATTAAGGCTTGCAGGATCAGATCCTAGTTTAAAATGTCTTTATTATTATTATTACTTTGCCTGATTCACAAGCTTGGGCTTCAGTCCTGCAGTTCTTTACTCAGGCAAAACCTTTATCAAAACCCCTTCGTGCTTAGCTTCTTCTCTCCAGAGGGTCTAACTCACCCAGCCACCCAATGATGGTGCAAAATGCTCTCCAGCAACTCAAAGAAAAATTAGAGTCCCCAGCAGATAGTAGGTGGGGTTCCAGCTCATAAAGCACGAACTTAGCTACATGGATGTTTTGCAAGAAACATTTCTTTGTCACACCTACCAGACTTTTCAAATTCAGTCTCTGAGATGAGTCACAGAAAAAAACCCACACAAGTGTTGTGAAAAAAAAAAACGATTACAACGCCTAGTTGGAACTAAAGGCTTTTGTGTGTGCGCGTGTGCGTGTACGTGTTTGGTTAGAATGCAGTATTACATATCAGTACATTCTGCCAGAAAGCATCCTCCTGGAAACTTCAAAACCTGAAGAAAAAAAATAAGCAACCCAGTCTCGGTCTGCTTTCCCCACCAGCAGTGAGGAAGGGTAGTGTCCATCCAGCACAGCTGTCTGTACCACGTGCATCATCGCAAGTCATAGTGTTCTAGCACGAACGTCGTGAGTGCAGATGCTGTATGCTAGCAGAGAGCTAAAACTTCTGAAGCTGTTGTCTGCAGCTCCTAGGAACAGCAAGGACGACAGGAGCAAAACCTACGTTTGAGGCAGAGGACACTTCGGTTTGGTTGAGACCAGCTCTTCCAAGGGGAAGAATCGCTGTCAAGCCAAAATAATTCTTTCTGCTTAAAACAGACACCTGCCCTTCCTAAAGGCTCTTGACTAATAGAATCCTACACGTTAAGTCAGCTCCTCCGTGGATTCTGGTAGCTGTTAAAAACATACTATAAATATTTCCATGTTTGCCATATCACTTAACCTTGTAATGTTCCTTCTTTGATCTGTTGAATAAAGAGATTCCTTTCATCTTCAGGTGTCCTTCCGTTTTGTGCCCGGACTATACAAGTGGGCCTGTGGAGATTTAGCATGTATATCAAATGCTGCTTCTCATTCTTTAGCTCTTCAATCTGGGCTTTTAATTCTGCATTGATAGTTTCCAGCTTTTCTGATTCCTAGTCACAAAGTACAGACACAACTATTAGACTGCGTGCTTTCAGTAGCCGACTGCAATGTTTACCTAATAGCTGCAGCCTTTTATCAGTGAGAAAACATATGACTAGCTGAGAAAGAAGTTAAAGGTTCTTAGAGCCCTATAGTGGTGAAACTACACATCTCCCAGGTCACTGTGGTTTGAAAACCAAATCCGTAGCTGCCTTCTTTGCTCTTTAGAGGTCTAACAGAAGTTGCACAGCCCAATTTAGACCTCACTTACAATGGTATGCACACAGAGTAATTTTGTCATCTTCTGCAGTTACTCTGAACTGCAGGAGCCAAAAATTGATCCAAAATGATGTATGTCTCCTGTTAACTCCCTGGAATGTTACAACATACATCTGTAAAGAGCACAACTCTTTTCCCTACCCCTGGATACAGGGACTAAGACAGGTCTGCTGCTGCTGTCCTCTAACTTCACCTCATAGCAGACCAGGTGAAACCACTACGGAGGTTTTAGGACACACAGCAGGCTAAGCTGCTACAGCATCCACTTCATAAGGAGGCCGGAGATTACCCATAGATGTCTGCAGGTTCGTGCAGTGGGATTTTGATTTCTTTTTGTTGTTGTTCAATTTACACATTCAAATTAATGTTACTCCCACAGAAAAGATTGGCCATTGAAGCAGTAACCCCCCTTCACCTTCCTGCCATGTTTTCATTTCTTCCAATTTTAATCAGATCTGATCTAGTATATCGCATGTTCACTTTTCATATAGTTAAGATTGTGAAGGTTTTGTATAGACTTGGGTAACATACTCCTGCATTTCCTACTATGACAGCACTACTGTATTATCTACACAGATCATGGCAGGATGAGAGAGCAAGAAAAAAAAAAAGAAGTTAGTGACTTACTTTCTGCAAACATTCTGTTTTTTCCTTCTTTTTGTTTCGGCACTTTGCAGCAGCAATTTTGTTCCTTTCCCTTCTCCGTTTTTTCCTTTCATCCTCCTCAGGAGTAAACTAGCCAGCAAAAACAGATACACACAATCAGTAAGTTACAGTAAATACTCTATCAGTGTTTTGATAACTTGTCCATTTTTTAGAAACAATGCAGATAGTGTTGTTAGCACTCACATCATGAGTTACATAAGGACATGATTCTGACCTTGCTTGCAATACAGTAAGACTGTAGAAACTCCATTAAAATTGTCAATTAAAAAAAAAAAAAAAAAGAACACTGACTGGACCTTAGATGGATGTAACCCATGCAATGGCTCATTTTAAATCAATGGCACTCAGAAAAATTGCCAAGTGTCTCTCCCACCCTGGTCAGGCTACCTTCTATACCTCCGTCTTGTTCAAGTTTTCCAACGAGAAAAAGGAGCCAAGAGTGCAGGGAGCAGAGTGGAAGCTGAAAGCAAGGATGAGGCAGGGAGCTAAAGGCAGTGCATGTAAGGGGGCATATGATGACACTCCTTGAAGGTTTGGGTTTTTTTCTCCCTTGAGAGTTTCATGACAACAGCAACAGCAGTAATTGATTTAAAGCAATGTACAGACATATCCTCAACTTAGTTGATTCCTTCACTTTATAAGAGAAATGCTTTTGCACTGCTAGTAAAAAACTAGCATGGACAAAGCACAGCAGCGGTAGCTCAGTGCAGCCCACGTGGGGCTTCGTGGACAGGCCACACTGAAGCGAAACTGCAGCGACTTACTCCAAGTTCAGCCACAAACAGGCAGAGAGAGAAGTTTAGCTCTGACCACTGCGAAGCACTGCCCATAATTAAAAATAATCATTTAATTATTGCTCATAATTAAAAGTAAAAGCATTCAACTAAAGCCCACTTAACTGCAGTGAGAAATACCATAGGGCTTTCCAAAAGCACCTACAGCAAAATCAAGCAACAGGCTTTGAAGGATCAAGCCTACTAAATGCGTTTAGGTGGAGCAGTTGGTCTGTAGTTGATATAATTAGTGGTCTTGCCATGAAATCTGATCAGAGCCCTAATCAATCACACTGACATGCAATTCGCACCTCTGCTTTCATGATGGACGCTTCCACCGGCCTTTCAGAGACAGTCACCGTGTCCAGTGTGGAAGACATCCTGTGGGCTTGGCGCTTGTTCTGAATGGCGAACCGCAGTTCCTCTTTCACCAGTGGGGTTAAATTTGTGAAATCATCAAACCCCAGTGACCCTGCAGGGGACAAAGTGGGAACAATTGCGGAGGCGCTGACTTCTAATGCTGATACCTGGCCAGAGTGTTGGACCATCATTTTGCTGAAAGGTAAAGAAAAAAAAGATGATAATAGTCTTTCAGCAACTTTAGAAAAGCAAAACAAACAAACAAACAAAAATCTGCTAGAGGCATATTTTAAACTGTGAAATAAGACTATAATTCTTGCACTGCCTCAACACCCATGCCCATGGTGCACCATGCACCATGCCCAGTCAAGCAATGAAGAATTTGCTCACTAGCAAAAACTTTTGCTTGCCTTCTGGTTAAGTTCAATTTGGTATTTAATGCTACTAGCATATCACACAATTTCTAGATCTCTCTGAAACTTAAGATGGAGTGTTTATATATGCATACTCTAAGGCTTTACCCTGGCAAATGCTATTATTATTTAAAACATAGAAGGAGGTTAAGAGAATCTCCATTCTCAGAGCTAAGCCATCAAATTCCTGCTTGAAATGGAAAGAACAAAGTTCGAGCTCAGACATCCTCAGGTAAAGCTACAACAGCTCTTGTAGAAGCTGAGGTTTTCTGGGCATGAGCAGCCCCCAAAATTATCCTGCTTGTTTTTACACGGGATTGTTAAGATCTGGTTATAGATTCCTGAGCAGGAGTCGGCACAGGCGTGAAGATGGGGTTTCAAAGCACAGAGCGAGCTGGAGGGAAGAAGCCCTGAGGAATGAGAAGTCATTTGTTTCATTCCTTTGCTCTTGTAAAATCTGAAACTGTCCTCGAGTGCCCTCCGCAAGGGTTTTAAATTCTTAAATATTTTGGTCAGATCTCCTGCTGACACAAAACAGTGAAACTGAGGAGACTTCAGGGGAATTATGCTAATGGATACCACCGGGATGGATACCCTCCCTTCCGTCCAGCAATTTTCCTAAGGAAATGAACCTGGCTGACGGCGCTCTCCGCTCTCCTCTTTTTAGTCACCTTCCTGTATTTTTTTAGCTGCTTGAGCAACAACAACTGAATGTGAAAGAGAGCAGGAGCGGTGCCCTCTGTGCTTCGTGTAAAGCGATGGCCCCTGGGCCACCAAACGGCCCGGGCGGGCACCCCAGCCAGCCCAGCCGGCGCTGTCCACCCAGACACGGCATCACAAGAGGCCTGGGATGAGCGGCGATGGCTGAAAATCCAGAGAAAATAGGATTATTCACAAGGCGAATTGTCCTAAATTGGACTTTACCATAATGTTGGGGTTTTTTTTGTGTGTTTTTATTATTATTTTTAATGGTTGTTGGGGCAATTACAGCACTTGCTATCTACTCTTGACTAGAACTGCAATAACTGCAGCAAAGTCAGTTACAGCTACCTTAGTGCAGGTGGGCAAGCAGTTGCCTCAGGGCAGCCACATGGGTCAAGTTACGTTTCTGCAAGGCCAGCCCAGAGTTGAGCAGTTCCCTGCCTGCCCCTCTGTAAGAAGACCAGCAAGAAGGGTTGGGGCATCACCCCATGCCTTGACAGAAAGACAGATTTTGCGCAGGGCTATCTCAAATACTGCGCTGCAAATCCACCCCGGGGCGAGCCAGAGGAGCACCCAGCTCATGCTAAGTGAGGGCAACATAAAAACCCAAGGGCAGCAGATTGCCTCTTGGCAAAGAGTGGCCTTGCCCAGGTGCAGCGGAGCCCTCGCTCGCAGGCTCGGTGGCCACGGCGCAGCGGGAGACTGCCTGCGTTCTGGCGGTGAAATCCTGAACCCACTGCAGGCAAAAGGTGTTTTTTGTTTGACCTCAGCAGGGCCAGGATTTCACCTTTGGTTATTAGAGGCGGGGAAATTATTTGGAACAATTTGTTATTCAGAGAGATCTTGGGAAATTTATGTAATTCTGTTCAGAAAGCCCCTGCTCATGAGTCACATTTAAAGTACCGATACGGTTTAATCCCATAATCTCAGAAAGCAAGTGGGTACCCTTTTTCAACAGGTCAGAAACCTCCCTATAATTTCCAACTAAACTCCTCCCAACGCCATCTACCAATTACCAATGTCCGACAGGTTCCAAACAGCGTCGGAGCCGCTAGCGGCTCCGGAAACCCCAGCTGCGGTCGCTGTCAGGCCCCTTGGCTCCCGGGGACGGTTTCATTTGACAAAGTTAATTCTGTTTAACGCACTCAAACTAGGAGCCTTAAACTAACAGTAACAGCCTAGGAAGAATTCATGGGGCCAACAGCTTTCCAGCACTAGTGGTTTATTCCTCTATCCATACATTCCTCCCTGTAGAAACCAAGAATGTTCATATTTTAGCCAGGTGCCTGGGCAATTGTGTCCACATTGCATTTCTGCTAGTGCCGAGGGCAGCACTGGCACTAGTGAGTCCTGTACTATGCTGAGATATCCTTGGGTGCTCTAGTTGCTCTCTCCTTGACTAAAAAAAAAAAAAAAAAAAAAAAAGAGAGAGAGAAAAGAGAAAAAAAGAAAAAAAAAAAAAAAAAAAGGTGGGAGAAGGGTGGGAGGGTGCCCACCAGGAGAGGAAGCTCAGGGGGAAGCACCCTTGGCCAGGGAAACTGCTGCTGGCCCGCCTGAGCAGTGCTCCGACCCTCCCAACATCCGACTTTTTGTTATTAAATAAAATAATAATAATAATAAAGCAGCATTTGACTATCTCTTCCTTTCTCGTAGTTTTCGTCCCCCCAAAACAAAACAAAACAAAAAACAAAACAAAACAAACAAAAAGCTCTGTCTATAAGTCACCCAGAGCAGTATCTCATTTTCTCCGCGTTTGTAAGGACAAGGAGCTGGGGAAGTACCGGGAAGGAGACCGAATGGGAGTCCCAGTCCTGCCAGGGCGGCCACCCCGGGGTC